GTATTCAATATAAGTTTTAAAACTAATAGGTGTAATACTTACATTATTTACTTTCTAAACATAAATTAAAAATAAAATTTTTCATGTTTGTTTATGTTGATTTTAAGTTTGCTATGAATTATTTATTGTAAAATTTTAACTTTTGTTTTTATAACTTTTAATGTTTTTACTTTTAATTGTGCTAATATAACTCAGAAAAACTATAGTTTTTTTTATCTGAAAAAATGTTGTTATAATAAAATTAATGCATAGCTAGAAGTTTAATTAGTAAATGATTTTTTTTTTTTTTTTTTAATTATCTTCGCTTCCAACAAGGCTGCAAGCAACAACTAATTAATGTTGGAAGTTACTGGAAGAGAAAAGATGAAGATTGTAGAGCAAGATAACGATTGACAGACGACTTAAAATATTGCAAATTATATATGAATCAGGAAAGCAAGATAAAGGAAGCGAATTCCAAAGAACTGATGTTCGAGGAAAAAAACTAGACGAATAAGAGTTTTTGAAGCACTTAGGAACAGTAACAGAAAGAGGATGAGACTTAATTGAATGACGAGTAACACGAGAATGAATTTTAGTAGATGGCACAAGAGACGCTAGCTCTTTAGAGCAGTGCCCATTATAGTATTTGTAGAAAAGAGAAAGAGAAGCAACATTACGACGATGTGACAGAGGTTGAAGGTTGGCTGCAAGAGCAGGTACAACTATGTTTACAATGCGTTTTTGCACCTTGTCTAAAAGAGAAAGGGCATCATTAAAAGATCCGCCCCAGATATGGCAACAGTATTCCATACAAGGCCGGATTTGAGATTTATAGAGATAGAGAATAGAATCCAGAGTAAGAAAGTGACAAGCTCGATAAAGAGAAGCAACTTTAGCAGATGCTAATTTTGCAATGGATTTGATATAAGGTTTCCAAGAAAGATCAGAAGTAAGAGTTAATCCTAGAAGATGAAGGGTAGGAGACTCATTGAGTACATTACCGTTCATAAATATAGGAAGGTCTAAATTATTGCGATAACGATTGGCCGAAAAAAATTGAGTTTTATCTGAATTAAAGTTCACCAGCCACTGCGAGCCCCATGCTGTAGCAGAAGTGAGATCCTTTTTGAGCTCAGATGCCCCCTGCAAGCAATCAGAAGGAGTTGGCTTCTTATCGTGACAAGAATAAATGGTAGTATCATCAGCAAACAATGCCACCTTAGATGTGAGAATATCTGGAAGATCGTTAATGTAAATTAAAAAGAGTATAGGGCCAAGGATTGAACCTTGGGGAACTACTGAGGTTACAGAATAATAAGAAGAGTGCTGTCCATCAAGGACAACTTTTATACTACGATTGGAAAGGAAGGATTCAATAATCTTAAAGACGTTTCTAGACACCATAAGAAGAAAGCTTATGGAGGAGACTAGCATGCCAAACTTCATCAAACGCTTTAGAAATGTCAAGAGCAATGGCCTTAACTTCTCCACCTTTATCTAATGCGCGATAAAACCTATCGGGTATTACTGATAGCAAATCAGCCGTAGAACAAGAAGATCGAAATCCATACTGATGATCAGAAAGTAGGTTATGAGATTCGAGATGAGAGATTAAGTGTTTGTTAATTAAAGACTCAAAAACCTTGCTTATGATAGGAAGAAGACTAATGGGACGGTAGTTAGATGAGTCAGATCGCTCTCCAGAATTTTTAAAAATAGGGATAACAGATGCTGCTTTCCAGCAGGCTGGAAAACAAGACTCTGATAAACACATGTTGAATAGTTTTGAAAAGATAGACGACAGCTCAGGAGAACACTTCTGCAAGACTATAACAGGTATGTTGTCCGGGCCGCAAGCTGTAGAAGAGTCTAAGCAGGAAATCACTTTAGATACAGAAGCTGGAGTGATACGAATGTCGAGCGATGGATCAACCTGTGTGACGGGTATATCAGGTAAAACGCAACTAGTGGCATCAAGAGATGATATTGATGAAAAGTTCTTGGCAAACAATTCAGCTTTGTCTTTAGGTGAGGTGACAAAGTTTGAACCGTACAAAAGAGGTGGAATTACAGACTTACCCTTATTATTGATACTATTAAAGATTCTCCAGAAGTCACGAGAGCCTAATTTTTGTGATGAAATACGAGATTTCATGATCTGAGAATAGCGGGTTTTGGCGTTAGACAAAACCTTTTTACAATGGTTCCTAGCAGTAATAAAGAGACGTCTGTTTTCTGGAGAATTGTTTTGCTGATAGATATGGAAGTAATGGTTTTGATTGGCAATTGCAGCAGCACAATGTGAGGAAAACCATGGAGAAGAGTGAGGCTTGACCTGGAATTGTCAAGAGGGAATAAAGGATTCCATGCCAGCTTGAATCCACGAAGTTATGTAAGAAGCACATTTGTCAACACAGAGACGAAAGGTTTCTACCCAGGGGCCATCACGAAGAAAGTTACAAAAAGAGTCCCAGTCAGCTTTAAAGTATTTGTAAGATGTACGATGATAGGGGATTCTAATGGTAAAGAAAAATGAGATAATAGTTTTAGAGAGACCAAACCATGATCAGACGCACCTATGGGTGAGTGTGAAGAAACTGAACACTGACTAGGATCAGATACAAGACATAAATCGAGTAGAGAAGGTAACTGATTCGGGTTGTCTGGAAAGCGAGTTGGAAAGTTGACTGTTTTAGTTAGGGATTGAGAAAGACAAAAGTTGTGGGCCTTAATGCCTGCAGAGTCACTGACACTAGAGCCAAGCCATTCAGTGTGATGAACATTAAAGTCACCAACAACAACAATATTGGCTGATGGATAAAGAATGAGGGCTTGGTCAATATAATCAGAAATAACATCAAGAAGAGTGCAGTCTACCACGAATATTGGTGAATGATACGTTTAGTTAGGTTTAACTTGGTGATGACTGTGGTTTTTTGTGTTTTATAGTTTTTGTTACTTTATTTATTTTTAAATTTGTTAAAGAACTTGACTCGAAACATTGATAGTACTCAGTACACTGTTCTATAGCTCAAGCAATTGCCTCATTTCCACTAATAAACCCTAAGCCGTAACAAAGGGCTCCAATGTGGCCTTGGCAATGCACAGCAAAAGTACAAACAGGGACATCATCCATGCGCAACATGGCACTGTTAGTACTCTGATATTTTTCAGCTGTTGATGGAATCAGCCTCTCTGAGAGCTACCACAGAGTTTGGGAAACCTGACTACCAGCCGGCCTCAGAACCATAAAACTGAGTTTTAGAGCGGTACTCTCATTTAGAGATAATAGAATGAGTTGCCTAAACATAAAAACAGAGACACAAGCAAAACCCATGAATCGAGTCAAGAAGATCCAGCGTTCAACATCCTAAACTGGAAACAATGTATTAAAAATACATCTGTGCCAGCCTAATAGATGACGAAGGGGTGCAAGGCTGGTCAACAGATAGAATCTGTTTACCCCTTAAGTCTTTGCCTAGGAGGCCTTCTACAAGACAGCAGCCGAATGCATGTAACATCTGCCCAAGATGAGTATTTTTATCAAGACACCATCTCTAGCCTTTACTCAACCAAGAGCCCCAAGGCAGGGGGTGTTTTATGTTGGAGTTTGCATCTCCTAGCCCTTGCCTAAAAAGGCATATCCTACAAGGCAGCAGGACATGAAGCAGATTGTACTTTCAATTCATTATTAAGAGCATTAATCCCATGTGGTAGCAGCATAATGCGTACCTGTATGTTATCAATTGGCTTTTTTAACAGGTCTAGATTTTCACTATTTTTAACAGCTCTAGAATTTTACTATTTTTGTATAGTTTTCCTTGTGGATGGGAAAATTGAGTTTAACAGAAGTATTTAATTAAATCAAAAACCAACATTTTGCATTTTTAGTTTAGTTTTTTTTAAAGTTTGATTAATTTTTTTCCAACCTGGTGTTAACAGTTCAATGTATTAAAGAATAAAATATCTTCTAAAACTATCTAACTAGTTTTAAGTTATAAGCAGAGTTGCCACTGCCTGGATTTTTTTATAGGAGAGAGCTGAAAAAATCTTATTTAAATAAATGCGCTGAAGTTAATTTATATAAGAATTTTTTGACAATTTTTTATGTCTCCCAGCTAATATAAATGCTGGTTATAAGTTTTGACAAAAACATTCATACCTGAAATATTTGGTTTTTGTCTGTGCTAATAGTTAAAAACATACAGTCATAAATATGTAAAGTACTGATAACAGCATAGGAATGCCTGACCTAATAATTTTGCAAAAAATTATGAAGTGGATCTGCCATTGTAAAAATGAAAGAGTGAGGCAAAAGGTTTTAATTAAAATTTTTAAATATCTAATGTTTAATAACTAAAATAATAACTTATATTAGAAACACAATCTAGTTTTTTATGATGTACGAGCTTATATATTCTATATGATTAAGTTATTAAGCTCAAGACTAAAGTCAAGTCCATTAACTATTTATTAGTATCTTTGCCTTGTGGAAAAGGGTACCATCCTGCATAAAGATGTCATCTTTTCTTGGGTACCATATCTTTTTGTGGTAACAATCTCTCCTGAAGCACCTTTTTGTACTGGTCCTGCCTTATTGTTAGTAGTAATCAGGGATTATCTTTTTCCAGATATTTCTGGAATTCCGGATATTTTTCACAATTTTTAGTTTTTCCGGATGTCCAAAATGTTTTCCATACATACAAGTTTAGATATATATTTTTGTAATATGTTTGTTTTTTAAGCTTTTTTACTCATTGCTTATACAAAAAGTAATAAAATAAAATAAAAAATTGGAAACAACTCAGTTAAAGTCAAAATCAAAGGGGAATATAAGGGAAAATGTATTTCAGACTTTTTCCGGATATTTTACCCAAACAATTTCTGGATTTTTTAAATACGACCAGGATGATCTATGAGTTATGCACGATCATCTTGAAGTGTTGTCTTTCTTGGTCTTGCAAAATTACGCTAATGATTTTTTTTTCTATTACTTATTTATTAATAAGTAATAATAT